TCCGGAGCCTGTGCTCCGCAAATGGGAGAGGCCACAACAGTGAGAGGCCCGCATAACGCAAGGAAAAAAAAAAAAAAAAGAAGCACAGACCAAAGAGATCGTGAAGCCAAGGTCTCTTATTTCATAGATTTAGATACTGAGGCCCAGAGAGGGGAGGAGAGATGCCCAAGGCAGAAGAATCCTGTTAGACCAATCTTCTCCTGGAGGGTGGGGATGCCCACTACTGAATCATAGGCAGAGACTGCCAATAGGTGTTCATTTGGTGGTTTCTTTTGACTGATAGAACTCGGAACGTAAGAAGGGAAGAAGTAGGAGGGGACAGTAATTTGCTAAACGTTTAATATGTGCTGGGCGCTCACACATCTTATTCCACTTGTTTTACCTACCTGACTCGGGTCAGTAGCTGTGGGGAAGGAGAGGACAGGAGGGAAACTAGAGATTTATTATGGACATTGTGGTACCTGATCAGACAGGGTGGCTGAGAATATGCTGAGAGTGAAAGATGGGTGAGGATTCTGGGTGGATGGTTAGATCTGGAAGGAAGTCCTCGTAGAAAAGGGCATCCGTTTGGGGTGGGCAAGCAAGATAGGTAGTTAGATATTCACATGAGATATTCAACACGAAGCTGGGTATGCAAGAGCGATGGTGGAACAGAGGAAAACAAAGGGTTTGGAATTCAGAGATCGTCCAAATCCTCTCTCTATTCACTTTCTGTTAGGTATTGGGCAAGTCTTTGAACCTAAGCCCCCGTTTAGGTGAGATAACAATATCTGCCCCACGTGACTGTTGAAGAATTTAATACTGAATGTTCTAAAATTTCTTACGCAAAATCCATGGCTAAGGATTATTTGAGCATTAGGGTCAGACAGAAACTTCTCAGGGGTTGAAGTGGTGAATATTTTCTTGCCAGCCTCAGCTTTCAACCTTTCTTTATGCTGGGCCTTCACATCTATAAGTAAAGCGTTAAAAAAATATATATAGTTTTATCATAGTCAAGCTTTCTAGAAAGCAATCTTTTATCAATATTTTTTTCTTCAGGGAGGAAGGATACTCTTACAGAAAAACCAATTATACCCCCAGAACCTGTTGAACCCATACTCTGTGGCAGCATGGCCATAGGAGCTGTGTCACTGGCTGTTGCCAAAACCAGTGCCGTGCTGGGCAATAATCCTCTATACTTAAATATTGCACTGCTGAAGCACCACCAGGTTAGTACCCATTACATTCCTTTACAAGGACCCATGAGTATCTCAAGATGAATTAACCATGTTTCTCATTTCCCCTTGCTTTCCCCCTTTTTCAGGATCAGCCGGCAAAGCTAACTATACCTCTCCTGATGGTATCTCTGGTCAGCTGTGGGAAGTCATCACCCGGCAAGCTGAATTTAATGAAAGAAGTGATTTGTATACCCCATCCTGGATTAACAGCTAAACAAGTACCTTACATTATCTCAAACTACCTTTTCTTAAAAAAAAAAAACCTTCATCATCAATGAGTTTTTAGTGTATGTTCCTAAGGCTTATGACACCAAGGGAAAAGGAATTAAATATAAAATGAGAAAAAAAATTTAGGAAATTAGGGAAGTGGGATGAAAACAAGACCTCAAACGAAAGAGAACCAAATTTAGACCACCTTGGATCTCCAGCTCATCACAACAGTGACTCATGCTAGTGGCTCACAGAGAAGCCACGGGCGAGTGACTTCGCAGTCCTTGATAGTGCTGGAAGGATATTCTTTGGGGCAACTGAGATTTTTTAATTTACTAGTCTATGCACTATGGCTGCAACAAGAGGAAGGTGGCACTTTCATAGCAGCCCTTCTGTTAAGTAGGAACTGCAGGGCCTAGCAGATTGCCTGGCACATAAGAGAGGTTTAGTGCATGTTTATGGAGTATGGAATGAAGGAATCCTAAGTGGCGTCTTTACTACTCAGAGGTTTGTTACTGTCTCATTGTTCTTCACTGGCATGAATGAGTCAATATGCCTTTTTAAATCTTCATGAATTATTCTACCAGTTAGGCATTTGGGAGAACCAAACATTCGTGTCCTATAGTGGATGTTTACAGGAAAAGAACAGGAAGCTCCATCCCCTCTGGTAGTATATTGACTGATATTTTATCTAAGCTAGTGACAATCATTTTTTTAAATCTCAAGATAATTTCTTTATGATAAAGAATTCTTTTTTAAGGAGAATAGTCATTACCCACTTCTATCAATTTTGGAAGACTAGGATTTATATCTGGCTCACCATCTGTCAGATCATGTTCAGATCCTGGCGCCAGGATCTTTCCTTCAGTTAATATCTGCTATTTGGGTACCAGAGCATTTGGCATGCCATTCTTCATCTGTCTCCATATGCAGATCCCACCATCATCAGAATACATTTTTCTACTTTCTAAGTGACAGTGGATTTATACTAATTCAAACACTGTCATGCAGAATCCCTTGATGACCTGTGACATGTATTGCAAGAAGGTTGGTCAGGAGACCATGAAAGAGAATGAAGTTAACTTGATCCAACCAACCGAACCAATCAGTTCTGAACAATGAAGAGAGGATAATGAGGAAGAAAAACCTCTCATTCATTTTCAACCAAATAAAAATTGAGGGTTGAAGATTAACATTTGATCTTCTGATTTTGTAGGCCATATGTAATTCACTAACCAGGATGCATTATCAGGGACCCTACAGATTTTCTAAGTTAGAAATAGCCATGTGTGGTATAAGTTTTTAATGTTTAAAATTCTAGACTACAGTTGTGGAAGATCATGGTTATTCTACTTACAGGGTGTGGACATGCTTCTGGAAATTCAGAAACACATTAACAAAGCAATTGAAATGGTATGTAAAGAGAATCTATGGAATCTAATAACTGATGCTTATATACCTTCTAGTAACCAAATTATAGTTCATTATGCAACAAAATCGATATTGTTGTTACAGATATGAAAACATATTAATTTCCTTTGGGTTTCCCATATGGGCCAAGCTTATACATTCCCTCATTGGCTATGGGTCCAGTTTCTAATGGAACTTAACAATCTTCTTTTGATTTCTTTTTGATTTCTACGCTAAGATCATCCCTTTGGATTTGCAAAGAAAGAAAGGATCTGGCCCCTAGGATTAGTGAGAGGCAGTTTGGTATAATGGTTAAGGCACAGTCACTTGTGCCTGCTTAGAATCCTGGTGTTGGGCAAACAAGCACCCTTGGCTGAGCAGCCCTTGAGGGGGAAAGTCACAGAGGCAGTATGAGGGGCAGCTGTATGAGTCAGCGGGTTGTTCCATCATATTCTAACTGGGGTAGTGCAGGATGATGTGGCAGGGCTGAGGGACCCAATCCTTGTCTTTTATTTTAGAATAATACTGCATTTATAGAGAAGTTGCAGAGATAGTGCAGAGAGTTCCCAACTACCCCTCACCCAGTTTCCCCCAAGGTTAACAGGATACATTACCATAGCGTATTCGTCAAAACTAAGAAATCAACATGCTACATTACTAATAACTAAACTCCAGACTTTATTTGAATTTCACTGGTTCTTCCACTAATGTCCTTGCTCTGTTCCAGGATCCAATCCAGGACCCAATATTTATTTAGTGTGAGGCTTTTAAGCTACATGATTAGGAAGCACTAGCTCCTTCCCCAGCAGGATGGGGGCTGAGATATAATCTCAGTACGACATAAAGGAACTTTGGCTCCAGTGCTATCTTGCCAGCACAGAATATGTGATGGGGGAGGGTGGTGGGGGCCCAAGCCCTACAGTTGATCAGAATTACTTTAAGCACCAGCCTGGAGCCAGTTGCCGGGGTGCTTTTCAGGAGGACAACCGTTTTATGGGTGAACAGCCTGCAGAGACTCAGACTTGGACAAGTTAACCCTGACCTTGTATTCTGCTTTGCCCCTTACTAGCTGTGTGACCTTGTGCCAATTATATAACCTCTCTGCCTCAGCCTTGTCGTCTGCAAAATGGGTGTGATACATTGTGAGGAGTAAACGAGCTGAATGTATGCAGTGTGCTCAGAGCAGGAGTGGACACAGCAGTGAACAGTACACGGTGGTAGTGGTTATCAGAGCAGGTGGAAGAAGTCCAGCTTAGAATATTAGGGAATTCAGGCTCTCTGAGCTCTCTGCAATCATCCTGGCTTCCAGATTTTTAATTATACAATTTTAAATGTACAATTAATTTTTAATTATACAAGCAGCTCACGAATGTTGCTGTGAAAATTCAAACACTGGTAGAGCTAGTCCTCCCTCCCCCCCGTACTAACTCCCCCTCCCTCGACCCCACAGCCACTACTACCCTCAGTTCCAGTCCCATCTCTAGAGGGACTCTAGACCACTGTTAAAAATTTAGTGTGGTCTTCTAGCCTTTCTTTTGTATTTATACACACAGACACACAGACACCACACATACAAATATATAGTGTGTTTTGTGTTTAAAATCATATAAAATTCTGCACAAATCACTCTACAGCTTGCTTTATTTCTTTGCCCTTTTTATTTGTGTTCATCTTTTACTGATACCTAGGAATTCTTTCTATAGTAAAGGCTTCAATCCTTTCTGCATGTTATACATATTTTCCTCTATCATGTTGCCTACCTTTTAACTGTATTTTATGCAGTCATAGGGATTTTTTTCTTTTCAAATTTTGACATAGTAAAATGTATCAACATGTTCTATTAAGGCAGTGGTTCTTAATGGGGAGTGATCTTGCCCAAGGGACGATGCCCAGAGACGTTCTGGGTTGTCCCAGCTTGGAGGGTGGGGCTCTCCTGGCATCTAGAAAGCTGACATCAGGGATGCTGCTACACATTCCTACAATGTATGAGGCAGCCCTCCATAGCAAAGGATTATCCAGACAAAGTGTCAAGAGTGCCAAGGCTGAAAAGCTCTGCTCTAAGGCTTTTGCTCTTTGCTCAGCTCTGGGCCCAGAGCGTTCAGCAGTCCCACATACCCCTGAGGTATCAGTTTCTTCTGAGTCCCCTTGCCTGACTCTTCCACAAGAGCAAAGGATGTCCCCTTGCTCTGCACTCGACATCACACCCCCTTCCTCCCTGGTTGTTACCTGCATCGCACGTGTCTGCCTCACTTAGACCGTGGCTCCCAAGGCAGTGCCTATGTATCTCGTTCACCACTGTATCTCTCCTGCCTGGCACATCAATTTGCTTCCTATGTTATTTTTACCAGGGTTAGAAACTTCAGCTGACTCCATAGTGAAAAGATGCAGGATAAATTCTGTATTTGCATATACTGGAGTGTGTGTGTGAACCATGTTGCTTCTTGACAAACATGCCCCAGCTTCTACAGCCAATGAATGCCAGGCATTAAAGTGCATCCTTTAACAGGTTAAATCCTTGTTACAGCATGCCATCAGTACCCCAAACTATGGAAGCTTCTCTTTGGTAATTATCTTTGCTTTTAATGTCAGATGACATTACACACACCAGATTCACCAGATTTAATGACCATGGGCTGCTTCCAAAAGTCAAACCCATCCTGCCAGAGAAAGTGTTTGTACTGTGAGAATATTTAAAACAATATGTTGGGCCTTTAAAAGCAAATGCCACAGTGTGGTTATTCCTTAAGGACAAAGAGGGGACTTAACATCGTCCTGTAAAAAAAGAGTTCCTGCACACAGCAGG